CAAAGTGTGACATCTTCCAGTTTGTTGAAACCCCGCATGGTCCCAGTGACAGAAACAGACCAGCAAAGAAGTAGCAACTTTCCCCAGTGATGGCCAAGGATGGAGCTCGGAGGATGTCACCCCCTTCTAAAGCAGCGAACTGAAACTCAGCTGTCCTCCCCCCCAACACCAGGTCTTATTAGTTCCTAAGAATAAAACTCAGAGCAGACAAGGCTGGCATTAGCCAAACATGAGTCCTCTTACCATTCTACACTATGACTTTCTGCAGAGGTTTTACCTACTCTAGCTTTCACCAAAAGTAAGTTCCATCTAGAAAAGAAAAAGTTCTTGGTCTTCTTAGAATGAGTCAAGCATAGAACTTCCTATTCTCATTACTAAAAAAAAAACAAAAAAACTAAGTTCAGGGACCACACACTTCAGTTTCTGGACAGTAGGATTTAAGTTCCATCTAGAAAAGAAAAAGTTCTTGGTCTTCTTAGAATGAGTCAAGCATAGAACTTCCTATTCTCATTACTAAAAAAAAAAACAAAAAAACTAAGTTCAGGGACCACACACTTCAGTTTCTGGACAGTAGGATTCTAGAAATGGAAAGTATTGAATTGAATGACTTCAGAGGTATCTGTACGATACTGTGATCTTTCTGGCAATGGTTTCTTAATTGTCTGCCTCTCTTATTCTACTCCTGCCTTATTTTGCTGAATTCTTTGGACAAATTGAGTTCTCAAAACACATTTAAACATCTATTAAATGAATGCGCACCTCGTGAGCTTTTTTTTTTTTAACTGAGGTATAACATGCATGCAGCAAAGTACAGAATTTTCAGTATACAGCTTGCTTAATTTTTGCATGTGTGTATTCCCATGTAACTACTACCCAGATCGATGTATACCATTTTCAGCACCCTAGAAGGCTCTCTCGTGCCCCTCTCAGTCTATGTCATCTCTCAGGTGTAACCAGTATTCTGATTTCTGTCACTATAAAATTAGTTTTGCCTGTGCCTGACCTTTGTGCAAATGGAATCCTTTATATCCGGTTTCTTTCACACAAAATCAGGTCTGTGAGATTCTCCCATGTGGTTGCAGATAGCTACAGTTCCTCCTCCTTTTTTTTTTTTTTTTTTTTTTTTTTTTTTTTTTTTTT